GCATTAAATCCATCATGAATGATGACCCTGAAGGGATGTTAATTAGTATCGGGAACTTCAGCTAGATTTTTCAAGCTTGTGTATGTAGGAAACTTCATCCAATATTGAACTGCCTGATCTATGTAAATAGCATTCTCGGAACCTTAATAAAGAGTTCTCCGTAATCTTACAGTCTTCAGAGTCAAATTACACTTTCCTTAGCAGTGATAAAATGGGCCGCTGCATCAGTTGGGTAAGTTAAAACCAATTCTACTACACAGGGCCAAACCTTTGTAGCCTTTCTACCCAGTAAGTGTTACTTTTGGCGCATCGTAAGAGGATAGCTAAGCCAGGGGTATTTTCAGGCAGTTCAATTTCAGGTTAAATGAAAATATCTTTTCATATTAACCTTTCCAGCTTCTCAGATAGAAAATACTGTCAGAAGAGAAGAGACCAAGGCAAATGAAAACTGACTAGGTGTGCTTTAAAATGACCCAGGAGTTTAAGTTTTCTTCTTCCATCTGATGACTGGGAGATGAAACAAGTTATACTCTTAGAACCTTGTGTTCAAGATAAGGCTGAGAAGGGAGATTTTTCAAAGGGAGTCCTGCACAATAGCATCACATCGGTAGGGACCTTTAAGGAATGCAAAGTCCCAGACTGTGCTGTGGGAGAAAGTAGGAGAGGATGGGCAGTCATCAGCTTTCAACCCTACATGTGACTGTGCTGCCTGCCGGCTTATGAGCCACAGCTGCAGAGAGAAGCTGGCCCCCTAGGTCTGCAGGTGCAGAGATGGGTTTAAACACCGGGCTCTACCTCCGCTTAGTAGGTGACCTTCGGCAACTTTTGTTAGGCTTTAATGTCCTCATTCATAAATCAGTGGCAATGACAATAATGCCTAACTCACTGGAACACTGGCGATAATCCGCGACATAAGAGAGTTAGCAAGAAACTTGGCATAACACGGTGAACTCATTAAATGCGGGCAATTATTCTCCCTGCTACAGAGTGATAGCAGGTTTGCTCATTCATTTATGCAACTACTATACTCAGCATTTGCCATAAATGCACATCAGAACCATCCTACTGCCTGAGGACCACTGCATACCAAAACACAAAGCATCACTGCCTGGTGATGGTGGGGCGCCGCACACATGAATGTGACCCGGCGGAAGCTTCGGCAGAGCAGCCGCTTCCCCAGCAAGCTGTGATATGTTCTTATCTCACTCCTTTCTGTCTTACTGATCTTAGGAGGCACAGATCCTGTGTTTCTAAACAGCCAGCCTATGCCACATGTCGGACAAAAGAAAGGCAGAAGCGGATGCACCAGGACACGAATTGTTCTTCCTGCACTGATCTTCTGAGTCCTACGGGTGGACCTGAGAGGTTTGCTAGGTGGAAGAATGCTCATGGTCACAGGCTCTCACTTTCTTAATGATTTATTAAGTGATTAAATAAAAAGTTGGTGGCAGGGGAACAGCATTAGCAAAACGGAATGACACTTATGTTTGAATCAATTATCTACGCAAAGTTCACTTTTCAATTGAGAAGCCAAAGAACAGTAACTATGATGTAATCTGGGTATTGGGCACTTGTGCAACGCTTCTTGTGCAAGCATTTGCTGAACTTTGCTGGTGATCTCTGGAGACACAGAATGAGTTGTGCCTCCTCTGGTGTGCACACCTGTGTGGTAGTGCACTTCAGTGTGGCGGGGGGGGGGATCATAGCTGACTCTTAAAACTAACAAGAAATTAAAGAGATAACTCTCTTTGGGTTCTAAGGTTAGATGCAAAATCATGTTTCCCAGATGACCACTTGATCACATGTTTGTGGGAAGACAGACAATGTCAAATGACACCCTATCAGCTTTTTGGTGAGGTCCCTCTGGAGAGGAGCCAATTGCTACCAGCAAATGAATAAATACGTAGAGAGCAGAACCTTCCACTCTTGTGGAATCTTCGAGTCTTCTAACTGAAAACCTGGTTATTGTAGAACAGTGGATAGCCAATACCATTCAGATTTCTGAGCCTCAGACCCAATAAGATAATAGGAGCTGTGAGAACTCAGCTCTGGGGTATCCTGTCGTGCAGCAATAGAAGAGGCACATGAATGAGCAAAACACTCTCACACCACAGTAGAGAAGAGTCTGGAATTTAAGCATGGACATACTAAGGGAAGTCATGAGGCTTGGAATACAGTTTTGCAGATTTAAGAGTCCTGGCTCTCATTTGTTTACTGTATGCCTGAAAGATATTCACAGGTCTGCAGTCTGTTTCCTGTCCTTTCCCTTAAGAGAAAAATAATAACTTAATAGGAATCTCTGAAGTATTCTGATACTCTGTTTACTATGACTAGCATTCATGACTCTGTCTTGTTTCTTTAGTCACGACTCTGTGAACGTATTTGAAGTTCTTAACGGGCAAGATCAGCATCTCTCTGGGTATCTGTCAGTAGCACAAAGGTGTAGTCGAATTCTGTGCTCATTGGAAGGCTGGGCATCGTCCTGCCCTTGTGGCATCTCAGCTCTACCAGGCTGAGTGAGCTTAGGCATGCACCTCAGATTCCTCATTCTTACAACATAGCTCATGCTAATGCATACATTCATTTACACAAACTCAGAAAACTACCCAGAGAGCACTCAGAACACTGCTTTCAGCAAACTGAGTATTTAAAGTACTTAGCACATTGAGTTTTTCTCTCAACCTTCCTTGTGCCAGGCTGAGAAAATTCAGTGGGAAAATGGGGGCTCTTTGGGAGGCAGGCATGGCAGCCTCAGTCAGCAGGCAGACCATGGTCAAAATGGAGGCCATAGGCCAGCAAGATTGCAGGTAATAAACTTGTTACCAAGCCTGATAACCAAACCCATGTTGGCTCCTTAGATGGAAGAAAACAAACTGACTTTGTGTCTTCTGACTTTCACATGCGTGTACACACACACACACACACACACACACACACACACACACTGAATAAATAAATGTAAAAAATCAAAGGTATCAACAACAACAAAATACTCAGGAGGTTCGTGGTGCTAGAGCAGTAACCCCCATTTCTCCTGGTGTCCTTTCTGTTTCACTAGTACAGTGAGAGGAATAGGGACGCGTCATATCCTACCCTTGTCCAGCACGAGATGCAGGCAGCAGTGACTCTTTCCTGGGAGAACAAATGTGGAACAAGGCGAGGACAGTCTCCCGCACCTGCTTTTATAAATGCCCATTGAGAGGCACTTTTGCTTTCCATACCACTTCTAAATTTCATTTAGAAATGGCAATTTTGTAATTTTGTCTGTGCGCACAAAGCCCCATAGCGCGTGCTAACACTAACTCTAGTGCCCCCCTCCGTGGTTCATCCCTTCTCTGTCTTAGAGCCAGCAAGCTGTCCTGTGTTATAGTCCCCTCAGATGACCCTACTGAATGATGTCTTGCTTTCCAATACCTTTGAAGTTCACACCAGGGCTCCCTTCTTTTCTCCTTAAATAGCAGAGCTCTCATGTAAAATTCTACCGGGAATCTAGCCATTTCTACAACTTCCCATCTCTACACATGTCTAGGAAAACGAAGAGATGGTAGACACATCAGCCACAAGCCTCCGCCTCCAAATAAGCATGCGTCTCCAGGGATCTAAACCAAGACCCAAGTGTAGAACCCTTCCTTAGCTCACTCTCCTCACAGCAGAGCAGATATGAAAACTACACCGATGACCAGAATGCAATGGTGAAGGGCGCCACCAGTGTGGCAGCGACGGCGGTGAACGTGGTCCCAGTAGGCTCATGTATTTGAACACTAGGTCCCAGGTGGCAATGCTGTTTGGGGGAAATTATGGAACCTTTAGGAGGTACAGCCTTGTTGGAAGGAGTATGTCATTGGGAGTGGCCTTTGATAATTTAGTTCCATGCCACTTCCAGTTCACTTCTGCTTCCTGTTTGAGGTTGAGATATGGTCTCTTAGCTTTCTACTCCTGCCACCCCACCTGTTGCTTCCTGCCCTGCCCCTCGGCCACCATAGGTTTTCCCTCTGGAACGTAAACCAAAATGAACTTTATTCCACGAGTCCCTTTTGGTCGGGGTGTCTTATCACAGCAACAAAGAAGGAACTGATGAGAGCGACTGGGGTGAAGGGACCCCCAAAACATGTGAGGGCAAGAACGTGATGCCAGAAGAGAACATGGGAAGAACTAGAGAAATCAGTCCTAGGTGCACCCTCAGTGGGACAATCCTGACCCACCAAGCAGCAAGAGCAAGGAGCTCTCCAGCCAGCCAGAATGAGAGGCTGAGTTGCAGGAAAATATGAGGAAGGGATGCGCAGCTCTGTGGATGTGTGTCTTTTCATCGGCTGGAGACATGTAGAGAATTCGAGACAGGGATTATAAAAAAAGTGCCATGGAAAACACCCTGGCAACACTTGGCAATAAAAATTTTCAAGAAAGAGAAACAAAACAGGGCTTTCTGCCGCTCACAGAGCAAACTGGTGACATATGAATTCATGATGCAGGGTGAGTAACGTCTTCTGAGCCATGTTTCAGTCATCACGAAGCAAAACTCTCAAGACTAGAGAGGTGCATTTCCAAAGGACCTAGGCTAAAGCAGACCAGCACCATGCTCTGTGGGTTCAATGAGTTTCCCTTACTGACATCCTTACACTGGCTTCCCTGAACTGTCCAAACACTTCCTGATACACAAAGGTGGCATGTCAGGGGACGCCTGCCAGCTAAGTAATTTCAATGATGTGCAAGTTTTAGCGTGCAAGCTTAGTGAGCTATACCCTATCAGAGCACTGCAACCGTCTACCAGAAGTGAACATGATTGCAAATAGGTCTCAGTGTGTCTACACCTGAGCAGTTTTCTATCTCAGCACCAGATTGTCTTAGAAAGTACGACAGTGAGCTCTCTCTCCAACAGTGAGCCTTCATGGGGGACCAGGTCCCTGGTCACTGCGTCTGGGCCTCCCAGAACCAACAGATTTTCTTCACACATCACAAACGTGGACAACATAACCATAGCTGGACTTCCTCGGTGAACTTACCATGTACCACATGCTTGGCCACTTGGGATCATTGAAGTAGGTGGACTGGGCACGGCTGAGGTCGTAATCCCTCTTGGTCCGTTTTTTCACCACTTGCTGCTGGATCCACTCCACCTTTCAAGAGAGACATCTGGTGAGTGCTTCATCTCTGTCACAGCTCCATAACATAAACGAAAGTCTAATGCATTTCCCATTTTCTGTCAGTGTTGTGTAAGTCAGACTTTATTGTGACAATTAAAATCTCTGTGTCCATGTGATTTTCTAGAAAGCCAGCTCTCTCCTGTTTCAATAGAGGCAGACATTGTAGTTTTTTATAGACCAATAATTCATCTCAATGCCAAGCAAGTTGTTAAGATTTTATGAAAATATGCCACTGATAATTTGTTCACTGATAATAAGGTGACAGTGATCATTTTTAGGGTATATTTCCATTCATAGTAAGAGCCGGAAAGCTTTTCCTACAGAAGTTCAATACTAAATATTTCAGACTTTGTGGATTCATTCTGCTCTTGTAGTATTATAGCTGAAGCATACCGGAAGTGGTTCAGTGGTGTACAAATAAACTGTCATAAACAAAACCAGCTGGATTTGACCCATCTGCCCCTTCCTCCTATGCAACATACTCTGAAATGTTTTGCCATCATGATGTGGGAGTCTGCTGTTTTGTGTTGATTTCATTGGTTAAATAAAGAGACTGCCTTGGCCCTTTAAGAGGACAGAAAATTAGGTAGGTGGAGTAGACTGAATAGAATGCTGAAAGAAAGAAGCAGATTCAGGAGTCACCATGATTCTCCCACTCCAGACAGATACAGGTTAAGATCTTCCCTGGTAAGCCACCTTGTGGGCTACACATATTATTAAAAATGGGTTAGATCAATATGTAAGAGCTAGCCAATAAGAGGCTGGAACTAATGGGCCAGGCAGTGTTTAAAAGAATACAGTTTCCTGATTTGGACCTTGAGATTTCTGTCCGGTGCTCCCGTGTGGGTCTCTGTCTCTGTCTCCTTTCATCGCCTGATGAAGGTTAATATTCCTGAGGATGCCTATGTGTTTGTCTTTGGATTCACCTTATTTAGAAGGAGACGGAGCACGAGCAAGGAACTCAGGACCACGAGGGGTGCACCCACACACTAAGACAATGGGGATGTTCTATTGGGATCTCACCAAGGCCAGCTGGCCTAGGTCTGAAAAAGCATGGGATAAATCCGGACTAGCTGAACTTAGCGGACAATGAGGAATACTGAGAATTCAAGAACAATTGCAGTGGGTTTTTGATCCTACTGCACGTACTGGCTTTGTGGGAGCCTAGGCAGTTTGAATGCTCACCTTACGAGACCTGGATAGAGGTGGGCAGTCCTTGGGCTTCCCACAGGTCAGGGAACCCTGATTGCTCTTCGAGCAGATGAGGGGGGGGGACTTGATCGGGGGAGGGGGAGGGAAATGGGAAGCGGTTGTGGGGACGAGGCAGAAATCCTTAATAAATAAATAAATTTAAAAAATAAAATAAAAAAAAAAGAATACAGTTTCCGTGTAATTATTTCGGGGCATAAGACAGCCATACAGGCGGCCGGGTGCCGGGGATGCAGCCCTGCCGCCACTCCAATTACAACAGAGTGGGGCCCGGTATCTCAGCGGCTATAGGCTGGAGGAGCGGAAGGACCTCCCGCAACACCATCACTTTTTTTTTTTTTGGTCTTTTTGAGCTGGCATCTCACTATGGGGCTCTAGATGCCCTGAAATTTGTCAGGAGCAGCCTTAAAGTTGGAACAATCCTGCTTCTGTCTTCTAAATCCTAGGATTTCAGGTATACACTACTGACCTGGTTAGGGTTACACGGTTTTATAAAAACATAGCATGGAAGAGCACTACTAGGTGAATCAAAAAAACTGTATGTCCTACTCTTATCTGTGGAACCGACTAAAGAGTCAGGCTCTTGATGTATGCACACCCTGCCAATTCTAAACTGTAAAACCACAACATTCCAGAAAAGCCTTGGCATTAACCATGACCTTTACTTCAACCTTGAGTTTAGCACAGCATCCGTAATCTCGTGACATATAAAATATAAGATATTTTTTAAAAACGGGTTCTTATTATGGCAAAGAAGGAAAAAAAAGGAGCATCTGAAATACAGGATTAGCCTTGATGCAATTCTTCAAGTTCCCATGAAATGTTCCTTTGTTTGACAGCTAACTTTGTCACAATATTTTGAAATCTCCTATCTAGCCATCTATCTTTGTTTCCACAAAGTAAAAACTAGGAGCAGGAACATCATGCAGCTTCCTGTGATAATCTATCTGCCCAAACAAAGATCCAAAATCCCTGTTGCCTACTGAGTTGAGGAGGACAATGGCACCCTTCTCAATCAAAGTGAAGAAGCCAGAATGGACATGTGTGCAGATTATCTGCTCCATGAAATATTCCCCTTCTTGATTCCAAACAATCTTTCTAAGGAACAAATCCCATCATATTATTCACTCAATAAATATTAAGTGGCAGACAGCATTCTCAGAATATGAAGATAGGTGAGAATGATATTGAGTTTTGAGAGAATTTTTTTTTTGGTTAGAGAAATTTAGCAAGTATTTCATTATTCTTAGATTCATAAAAATATAATTATCTCTACACATGATGCTTAGCAAGTGAAGATTTAGGACGAGTTTGACAATGCAATTTATATTATCAAACCTAATTTTAAATTACTACATATTTATCTCATTCCTACCAGGTCAAGTGGGTTTATATCTATCTATACACTAGGTCAAGGAAGGCTTCAGATCTGTTTAAGCAAAATTCCTTTAAAAAATGGAAACTTCATCAATCCAATGCCAAGGTGTATATGCAAATATCAGAGAGTATCATATAATCTGCTAGTCACTAAGACATTCCTAGAAAATAAAGGAGTCTTTACTGGGGTGGGGTACCATAGTGCATGCATGGTTTTCCCTCTATGTGTCACAAGTAGGACAGATGGGTATGTGGGAGAGAGGAAACCAAACGGTAGCCATTTTCATAGATGAGCTATGGCACTGAAAGAGAACGAGATATCTTACCAAACAGAATCTCATCTGTAACTTTACCAGATAAAAGTGTTAGCTACATGGCATACTTGCTAGACAGTGTCACAGCAGTTTGGCATCTGCCTCTGACTATAAGTCACTTTATCTGATCACAGGGCTGTGGTACTCAAAAAAGGCTCGTGTGTGTGTGTGTGTGTGTGTGTGTGTGTGTGTGTGTGTAGCATCAAATACCATATAATTTGCCTTGGTGCTTTATGGTATGAACTTAGAGAACAATAAAAGCACCCCTTGAATCAAAAGTTTCCTATGATTGAAAAGCTCACATTTATCATTTTAAACACATTTATCCATCCATCCACCCATCCATATTTAAGTTCTTTAAGAAGAACTTAGAGTATTATATAAATGTTATGTCTTGCCAAGCTTACTACAAAGAGAAAACATTTTCATACAACTCTACCCAGCCCAGAAGAGAATGACATCCTTCCTCTTGACATGTTCCATTTCAGACATAATATAGAATGCAGTAAGATCAGGATACCCCAACACTCACAAAGCTCTCACCTCCCTCTGCAGGCTAAGTAGACACTGAACCTTCACTTCCTAGGATTTCCATCCTCACCTCCTACTTGCCAAGCAAACCACATAAACTGATGATTATGGGAAGTCTACCATACAAACTCAGTTAAACTTGTATCTCAATTTCAAATTTGCCAACTTATTTATCCTGCTCATGAGGTAATTTATCACCAATACTCATGAGGTAATTTATCACCAACAGGATGTAAAAATATTTTATAAGGTGCAAATATACTAGAACTCGTTGGTTAAATGTAAATGGGAAACAAATTATAGTATCACTTTTAAAATGCATCCCACACCGAGGAGGAAATAAGTTCTTTGAGTAATAAAATACAATAGAGCTAATGATTAAAACAGGTACATCAATGAGTAAAACAGAAAATAAAGAAACTGACCTTAAATACATAATAAGATGGCATGAACTAAAGATGTTATGCTAAATCATGCGTGACAAAAAACTACTTAACAATGGTATTTGAACATTAATGAACAAATGAAGTTGAAATTTTAATCTCAGTTCAGGATAATTTTAATGTTAAAATGTAAAATATTTAAAACTGTAAAGCACAGTAAGAAATATGGAGTTTAAAATAATTTAACAAGGGAAGATACATATTACAAAATTTTAGAGTGATTCAAAAAAAATTATAATTTTATAAGAAAATAGTGTAAATTTGTCATGGCCGAAGTGTCAAAGGGAGAGGTGAAAGATAAAATAAAAGTTCACAGCTTCTACCATCAACCCAAGGAGGCTATCTCCTTAATATAATAGTGCTGTAGGATAATGCTTTCGTACACTGTAAAGATTTGTCACTCACACTGCTTTAATAAAACACTGATTGACCAGTAGTCAGGCAGGAAGTATGGGTGGGGCAAACAGACTAAGAGAATTCTGGGAAGAGAAAAGGCAGGATGCAGTCACCAAACAGAACAGAAGAAGAAAGATGAGAATGCTGCACTGAGAAAAAGTACCAAGCCATGTGGCTACACATAGACAAGAATTATGGTTAATTTAAGCTGCAAGAGCTAGTTAATAGTAAACCTGCACTAACAGTCCAAACAGCTTACAACTGATAGAAGCCGCTGTGTGTTTCTTTGGGAGTGAATGGCTGCAGGCCTGCATGTGTTGTCTGAGTTTTCTGTACTGCCTGGTTCCCACAGTCGTTAAGTCCCAAAGAATTACACAAACATCTACATTAGTTATAAACTGATTGGTCCATTAGCTCAGGCGTCTTATTAATTCTTATAACTTATATATATATTAGCCCATTATTCTTGTCTGTGTTAACCACATGGCTCAGTACCTTATTCAGCAAGGCAGTCACATCTTTCTCCTTCTGTGGCTGGATCAGGACTGCTGATCAAGCTTTCCTCTTCCCAGAATTCTCCTGTTCTCACTGACCTGCCTCTACTTCCTGTCTGGTTGTCCTGCCTATACTTCATGCCTGGCTTCTGGCCAATTAGAGCTTATTTAAAATATAATTGTCAGAATACAGACTATTGTCCCATACC